CACTTTGGCATGAGGTCGGCACGCAGTTAATGAGAACTCCCTTCCCTTCTTTCCTTTACTCTGCAGGCAGTCGGGAACCATTGGAAGTTTTCAAGAGGGGGAGAGAAATGAGCAGATTGATCAGGGGGACATTGAGCTTGTTGAGGTCAGAGGAGTGGGGGCTTGAGCACCAAAGTAGTGGTTGGAATGGAAAGGACAACTGACCTTGAGCAGGTAGACGCTAGTAATTGGCATTATTTGATATAAAGAGGGATAAGATATTCACAATTGCTTTCAGTTTTTAATTCCCAGAAACTAGAACACAGGACATGTAGGAAGAAGTTGGTTTGAGTAGAGAGGAGGATAGTTTAGGAAATATCAGTGTTGAATTTCTAGCTTGGCATTGAAGGAGAAGGTCCAAGAGGCAGCTGTAGCTCTGGGGAAGAGGCTATAGAGAGTGACCTTGGGAATCATCATGAAGAAGGTGAGATGGTGCCATGGAGGGAGGCTGCCAGTCCTGAAGTCCTCCCTGAGGGCCCAGCAGTGAATGGGACAAAGTCCTGGATCTTGGGGAGGAGAATACAAACACCAAAAGGAATTCTCCCCACGTTCCCCCCTCTACCTCCACCCCAGGTCTTAATTCTGCAAACATTTCTACACTTTTGTTTTTCTGTATTCTATATATGAGTAGAATCATCCCATATTTGTCTTTCTCTCTCTGTGGCTTATTTCACTTATCATAATTCCCAGTCTCATCCATGTTGTAACAAATGGCAGGAATTCATTTTTTCTAAATAGTTGAATAGTATTCCATTGTGTAAATTAATCATGTCATCTTAATCCAGTCATCTGTTGTTGGGCAATTAGGTTGTTGCCATAACTTGGCTGCTGTAAATAGTTCTGCAAATGAACATAGGAATTCATATATGCCTTCAAATTGGTATTTTTGCAGTCTTTGAATAAACCCCAGGGAGTGGAATTACTGCATCAAATGGTAGGTCGGTTTTTAATATTTTGAGAAACCTCCATACTATTTTCCGTAGGATGGGCCAGTCTGCGCTCCCATCAACAGTGTGTCAAGGTTCGTTTTTCTCCACACCCTCGCCTACATTTGTTATTTTTTGTTTTGCTTTGTTTAATATGGGTCATTCTTACTACAGGTGTTATTTTATTGTGGTTTTGATTTGCATTTCCTGATGATAAATGGTGATGAACATTTTTTCCACGTGCCTATAGGTCATCTGTATGTCTTCACTTCTCCAGTGCCTAGCTCCTAGTGCCTAGCTCCAGTGCCTAGCTCCTCTGCCCATTTGTTGATCTGGTCCTTTCTTCTCTTTGTCCTGAGTTGTTGGAGTTCTTTGTAGATCTTTCATATTAGCCCCTTGTCAGATGTCTGATGTGCAAGTGTTTTCTCCCATTCAGTAGGGATTCTTTTGTTTTATTGACTGTATTTTTCACACTACAGAAGCTTTTTAGTTTGGCGTAGTGTCATTAGTTTATTTTTCCTTTTATTTTCCTTGCCTTTGGAGCCAAGTCCCCAAAGACATACTTGAAGCCAACGTTGTGGAGGAAAACACAAATATTTAATGATTTACCTTCAGTTTCCCAACTGGCTAGGCCTGGAATACAGGTCCATTTTACCCTTAAGAGGTTGTTCTTTTCATTATTGCAATCTGTTCTGTGAATATGCTGATGCTGAATGAGTCTCCCTAGTATTATTACTTTGACATTGCGGAGAGATTGTATGGAATTGGAAGAATTGAGGATTGAACCCAAGGAATGCTTACAGTTAAAGACTAGGTGGAAGAAAAGTAGAAAATGAGAGAGAGCGAGAGACAGAGAGAGAGAGAGATATCCCAATAGAAGTACCCAGATAGCACAGTGTGGTGGAAGAGTTGTGAACGGAGTGGTATAACATATCCAAACATGGAAAATGTTAGAGGTAGTGAGCTCTGACTGTAGATGGCCAATGACGATGACATATAGCCACAAGAAAGTAATTTCCAGTATGGATCACAAAAGGTGGAAAAATAAATCAGTTTTAAAGAACTAGAGTAAGTGCAGATCACTTTTGCAAAAAGCTTGAGGTCACAGGAAGAAATCAAAAGGGAAGTCTCCCTCAGACAGAGGCAGTAGATTTATGAGGAAGTGATCTTAGGATCAACACTAGGGAAGGGAGCAGCTCTGCACAGAAGTCAAGCTGTGATGCAGGATAAAGGCTCAGCCAACCTTCAGTGCATCCCACTAGGGTGAGAGTTATTGAATATGGGCTGCTGAGAAAGGGGCAAAGCATGACAACTGAGGGCCAATGACAATGCCATTCCAAGAAGCTGGGGTCATTTATTCACTTTCTGCCTGTGCCCTTACCACAGGAATAGTTCTTCATTCTGGCAGAATCAGGGAGGAATATTTTTAGGATAAAACTTGACTTTGGAAATAGATACATAAACAGACATGTTCTCATTATTATTGTTCATTGCTTGACAGCCAAAACTTATTTTATTTTTTTATTATTTTTTAAAGATTTATTTATTTATGCAAGCACTGGGTACAGTCAGATTCGCGGGAGGGTGAGAGAATTCACCAGAGCCAGAGCGGGGAGCAGAGCAGGCAGAAGGACCAAAGTACACTGCCGAGGGGAGCAGCAGGCAGCAGGAGAGGTCTGCGCACCATGTGGGACCCTCCTCCGGTGGCCGGGGAGCAGCCAGGGGTTCAAACCGGCGCTGCAGAGGCTGCGGGCAGCTTCGCAACCCAGCGCTCAACCGCTGCGCCACCGGGGAGGCCCCCAAAACTTATTTTAAAAGGGATAAGACATTTATGGAATACCTATATATGTGCTAGCATCAAAATGTCCCCTTTTGAGGACCTCTAAATTTAGCAAAAGAAGGAGGCAAAAAATCAATAACCCTGTAAGGGAGAGAAACATTAGGTTCTGTCAGGGAGCAAAACAGTCTGCTCCTAAAATTTGTCACTTTGATTTGTGGGTTGTTATGAGCTGAAGGAAATTAGGACCCAGCAGATTCAGGAAGACTTTTCTTTACCTCTGTCTTAATTGCTTAAAATAATTTAGATAGAGTATATTCAAGGAAAAAAGGTGTCACCACAGTTAAAAAAGTGAAAACCTAAAAGTGAAAGACTAGGGGGAGTGAGTTAGTTCTTTTCTCAAATGCTTTTCTTGCCTTTCTGTAAAATTTCTTCCTTCTTTTCTTGAAGTCCCAGACCTCTACCACTTCTCTCTAGAACAGGTTAATGTTGTGTTCTGGTGACCTTTAAGGTAGGTTAGGTATATTAAATACACTTTTTACTTACAGTATTTTCAACTTAAAATGGTTTTAATGGGACTGAATCCCATCATAAGTTGAGGATGATCTGTCCAAGATGGAGGTGGTCTGATATGGCAGTTGAGTGCTGATTCCTTGGTCTAACAGATTGTTGCATGGTTGACTCTGCCACGAATGAGCTGTGTATTCCTAGGCAAATTACTTAACCTAGAACTCAGGTTCCTAAGTTGCAAAATGGAGATGGTAAAAGTTCCTCTCTCAAAATTAGTGAGGCTTAATTCAAGTTTGGGAGAGGTTAAATACGGTGTTTGATATATAATAAGAATTTAGTTAACATTGTCGGTTTCTGTAGGTGAGAATTCAGGATGTAGAAGGCAAGAGTGGAGCATGTACGTTGGGAGGAAGCACTGCATCAAGGAAGCAAGGGGCTAGGGGTAGAGTCTCGTAAAATTCATTCCTATTTTGGAATGCCTACTTATCTGGGATGTTTTTCTCCTGTAATTTATGGATGATTTTACTCATACTTACATTTTCTTGTGAGTGGGGGACAAATTGGTGCCCAACCCAATGTCAAGGTAGCTTTGCCTTAGGAAAATCATGTGAGATAGAACAAAGACAAGAAGACAGAGCCAGTAAAATGATAGGACTTTTGGTGGTCACTTTTGAGGATGCATTAGAATAAAGAAATTGTCATCTGGGGTCTAGAGTAGAAGATCCAATAGTTCCTCCCTTATTCTATGGCTGTTTCTCATAGGAACCAAGCCACTTGCTGGAAGCCTGCCTTGACTGATATGAATTGATTACTCTTATTTTCTTTTCCATTCTTAAGATATTTATTTCTATCACACCTATTTGCACACATGATTATGGTGCTAGGAGATTTTCTTTAAAACTATCAGAATACTTACTGAAAGCAGCTACTTCTTCCCTCCTGTATCCCACCCAGTTCTCACCCCACCCTAACACCTCTCCTTTCCAGCTGTGCTTCCAGCTGGTCCAGTAAGATTTTATGCCAGAAGCAATTTCCCCATTCTTTCAGTTCCTCTCCTCCCAGATTGAGAAATTCTGGGCTTGCCCTGGGTTTATTTTTTTTGCAGCCTCATTTTTTCCTTATCTTTCCATCAGGCACTGAAACCTGGCCTTTCTGGCTTCATCCACTGTGGGTCACTGATTGTCCCAATGCCAGCGGATCCTTCAGATCTTAAGAAAGAGACCAGGCAGCATTTTCACCCAGACTCAGACTCCTCCTAATTGCACCAGTGCTGCACGTACCTATGGGGAAAATAGTTGTGGACTGTCGGGCTTGAGGTTAATTGGTTTCAGCTCACGTCTCAGAGGAGCAGAGTCCTAATGCAATACACCCCTGTTACAGGTGCCCTAACCAGCTTCATTCCAAGGGGCTGGCCCGCTGAAGGAAAGTAATTTCTTTCACTCCACCCCTTTCCTGCCGGGTTACTCAAAGGCCTGCCTCCTGCGCCGGCCAAGTGGAACAGATATGAAACCTTAGAAGAAAAGTTTTTAAGCTCAGTTAACTGTTCATTAATATACAGGAGTGGCAGGTCTAATGCGTCCCTTTTCATGTTGGGTCAAAGATGAAATCTGATTATGCTTCGAAGGGTGTGGTGTGTTTCTTGAAAATCCGCGGGTCCCACGTCTGCTATCGCCCAGAGAAGCCCCGGGTGCGCTTATCTGACCAAGGGAGGCGCGCTTGCGGCTTATAAAGCAGCCGGAGCCCTCACCGGGAAAGTCAAACCCATCTGCACAATGAAGCAGAAGCAGCCTAAGACCGAGGCAGCTCCGCACTGTGAGCTGAGTAAGTAGCCAGTGAGGCGCGACCGCCCAGGAAAGCTGCCCCGCCGAGCAGCCCCGTACGGGCGCCAAGAACGTCTCTCCCCGCTTTATTCTGTTGCAGCACAAGTTGCCCAAGCGAAGCTTCTGGCCTGGAGGAACTTCATGAAGCCCCTCGGAAGCTCCCCAGATGTGTTGCAGCGTCTCAGAACTAACTTGTTCATTTTCTTTTCTCTCCAGAAGAAATTCCTTATGGAAACCTGCCAGTACAGATCACTAGTTCACCCAGTTTGGGGGAGGGGGGCGGGGAAGTCCTGCGTGTTTTTACTTTACTGTCAACTGGGGATATCTCTTTGTGCGCTTCACTCTATTTTCCCTCCCTTCTTGTACTTTTTTTTTTTTTTAAAGATTTATTTGTTTATACAAGGACTGGGGTACAGGTCAGAGGTGCGGGGGTGAGAGGATTCACCAGAGACAGAGCAGGGAACAGAACAGGCAGACGATAGAAATCCACTGCTGAGGGGAGCAGCGGGCGAGACAGGAGAGGTCTGCTGCGCCCTGTGGGTTGCTCCCTGGCCGGCCGGGGATCGAACCCGTGCTGCAGAAGCTGCGGATAGCTTCGTAGTGCGGTGCTTAACCCCTTGTGCCACCAGGGAGGCCCCTTCTTGTACTTTTTAGAAACCGATTAATAAAATTTCCCCCCAGCAGTTTTTACACCAAGAAAGAAGGTGGAGGGGGTTATGCCTGTTCCCTCTAGGTCAGCGGCTTGCTCAGGCCAGCCTGGTTATCTTTGCTGTCGGCGCAGAGGCTGCAGGATCGCCTCGGAGCTCTGTAGACGATGAGGGCGGGTCGTCAGATCTCTTATTTTCTCCCCTCTGAGGCACCGCCGGCCTGGGGCCTCTGCGGGCGGAGGCTGGGGCCGGGGGCACGGAGGGTCGGTGGAGACCGAGGCGCGGGCGAGAGAAGCGGCTGCAGGGAGGGCGCAGGGACCCCCCGCGGCCGAGGCTCGGGGGGAGGCATCTGGGGAGGCCCGGCCGGCCGCCTGGCTGCCCGCGGCTCCTCCCGGCGGGTGCCCCCGGCGGGGCGGGGGGCCGGCTGCACTTTCTAGGACGGAGCTGGGCCGCGCGGAGCCCCGTCTCCACGAGGCCGCGGCTACTGCCAGCGCCTCGCGCGCCGCCGCGGCTCCGCACGGCGGGAGGCGCCCCTGCCCAGCGGCCGCCCGAAGGCGCGAGGGGCCCACGCGCGGGCTCGGGCCGCGCTCCCCGCCCGGCCGGCCCCGCCCCTGCGCGGCCCTGGGGGGCGGGGCCGGGCCTCGCGCTCGGCAGGTCTCGCGCCGCCGGCCCGTCCCGGGATCCAGCCAATAGGAACGTGCGGCCCCGCGTCCGCCCGCCAATCGCGGGGCGCGTGGGGCTGGCTGCCGGCGTCGGCTCCTGGGACATGGAGACGCCGGCGCGGGGACGACCCGTCAGGCGGTGGAGCCGGTGAGGTGAGCGGCGCGCGGGGTCAGGGGTCACGCGGCCTCGCTCGCCCCCGGCTGGCGGGGGCCGCCCGGGGGGCCGGTGCCTGGGCCGGGCCGGGCGCCCCGGGCCCCCGAGGGCAGGAAGGCCCCGAGGCGCCGGGCGCGCGGGCCAGCTGGAGCCGCGTTACTCGACGGGCCGCCGCGGGGAAGGCGCCGGGTGTGAGGGGCGGTCGCCTGAGACCCCGGGGGCCTCGGCCCGTCCCCGCCCGCCTGGAGAAATGGCCGAGCCCCGGGCCGCCCCTGCCGCCGCGCCTGGACCCGTGACCCGAGAGCAGGGTGCGCTCGCCGCCCGCCGCCGTGGCAGCGCGGCCCGGCCGGGGCGAGGTTCCGCGGGCCCCTTCTTATCTGAGGCTCCCGGGGCCGCTCCGCGCCCTGGGCCTCCCGCAACAACAGAGGAAAAAAAAAAAATTTTTTTTTTTTCTGTGCAGCTTCACTTCAACAACAAATTTTTGGTGCGGCCATAAGGCTTTTTATTAGTCCCTCCCCCACCGTCTCTCTATCTCCTTTCCCTCCTCTCGCGCTTGACCTCGGCGCCCTCGCGGTGTGTGATGCCACCGGTTAAAAAAATTCAGTTTAGTGTGGCCGATGTCAAGGGGGCGCCTCGAGTGCAGGCCGCTCAGTAGGTGTGTGGATTTTAGGGCTGTTTGTGTAGCTCCCAGGGCCCAGGAGAAGGGCAGGTTTTTTTTGGGGGGGGGGCATTATTGCACCTGGTGGGTAGGTGGGGTGTCTGCGCTGCAAGTGTTCGGTTACCTGGGTCCCTGCTTTGCAAGCTGTCCCTTACGTTTACTTTTTTAATTTCCGGCTTTGGATTCCTTCTTCCCTTTTGTTTTTCCCAACAAAATGCATTATGTGCATAATGTATTATGACTGTTTCAAAGCGCAGCCTTAGGGGAGAAGTTGATGACCCTGAGCTGAGTTTTCTGTGTCTAAAATGAAGATTTTACCTACCGTCCACTGCGTTCAGAGGAGTATTACGAAGTTAAAAGAGTTTGACGTCTCTGAAAGTAGAGAACAAAAGCTAGATTTACGTGGGCCACAGGCAAGGGATGATGGTTTCCGGGAGCTTTTGCTGGTCATAATTTTAGTGAATTGGGTGAAAACAGGGGAGTGTATGTTTACCTTGACGTGTGCGGAATCTCAAGCCAAATGCTTAGTTGGCTGTGTCAGCTGTTGAACACGTTGCTTAGCTTCTCTGCTCTGTTAGTTCCACGTACTAAGAGAGGGGCTTAATAAAAATAGGGGTTGGGGAGTATTAAATGAGTTAATACACACAGTCTTAACAACAGCTCTTGGCATGCAGGAGTTTTTGTTGTTATGCTAGTGCCTTCATTTGCCTTCTGTTCACTTAAAGAGTCCATGCTAAAGAATTCTCACCTAATTAACATTTACTCAGAATCCTATCAGCCTGTTACAGTGAACCCTTAGGCCAGTATTTTCCCTCCAGGTCATTAACTTTGAGGATGTGTTATAATTACAAGTGACTACATGCTTCGGCTTTGTGGTATTTTTTTTTTTTTTTTTTTTGGAGCGGAGAGTCATTAAATAAGGTTGGAAACTCACTGTAGTAGGTCTGTCTGAGGTAACTATGTTGGTAAATGAAACCTGAGAACTTTTTAGACTGGTTAGTTTTTCACTGGATAATATTTCATTTACAGTCTTGGCCTATGCAGAGTTTATTTTGAATCCAGTACCAGGAAGGGCATGATTGCAGCAGACTTGGTTTGTCATGTTTCCCGAATAACTGTGTGACTCTGGACGGGAATTTCTGGGCAGCCTGGCAGCGCTTCTTGTTAGTGAATGGGTAAGGCTGGTAGAAATCTCATGTTACTCTACTGATAGAAATGAGCAGTAGTCCTTTGTTTTACTCTGCAGAGCTGCTAAGCATCTTTGGTTCCCTTTGGACTCCATGAAGCCAAGGTTGGAAACTTGTATCCACAAAGTAGCACCTTTTCTGCTTGGGTGAGTGCTATGGAATCAAAGAGGTCTTTGCTCCCTCCCTTCTCTCACACCTGTAAATGACTGCTGACAGACTAAGGCTCTTTCTGGGAGGGTAAATGTCCCTCTCAAGTTCTGTTCGTACTGTCTGCAAGAATCTAAGGGAAGATTGTTTTGTCTTCCAGTCTCCCAAGTAAGCTGCTGTGTAGCCAACATTATAAAAAATAATCACAAAATGCGAAAACTTGAATTTACAAAAGGAACATTGCTTACTGTGTTAGTGTCTTTTTGAAACCTACTTGTGCTTGGACAAGGAGAGTGACATCTTTCAGGAGTTGAGTGTGTGAGGTGGTTGTCATATTTGTCATAGCATGTCATGTTGTCATGTTTATCATCTGCTTTTTGAATAGCCTTTGAATATACAAAACATAAGGAATTAGAATGTGTGGAACCTTGTCTCACTCATCAAATGCCGTTTATTCTTCTGATCATTTAACAAACATAAACTGAACAATTAGCATTTTTTGGCCCCTGCAAACACAAAGAAGAGTCCTCCAAGTATCATTAGGAATATCGTGGGTAAAATAAAGCAACATATACGTATTATGAATTATATATTAATAAAATAATAATGGAACATAAAATAGCAAGAAATGATAAAACTGTATTTACTGTCTAATTCCTTTTCTACTTTTAATTTAAAGTCAGAATAACTTATTTTTTAGTTTAATCACCAGTTTCCAGCAAAAACATAAAGAGGCCTAACTTAACTAGTCCTTAGTCTCTATGCTAATTGCTAGTAGGTCGTTCCAGTTATTTTTGTTTGCTTTTGTCCCATTTATCACCAATTTTCAAGTGTCTGCTAAAATTCTTAGGTAATGAAAGGAGAAGGCTGCAAGTTAATTATTTAAAAAATTTGACAGGTCCCTGAGAGCAGAAGGAAGTATGTATGAGGCCGGAGAAGCTTATGGCTTTTGTACCCTAGCTCTCTATTTTTTTTCTTTGCTTTAAGGAAAGAAACTCTGAGAGAAATAGGTACTTTAAATTGTTAAGGCCAGGTGTCATCCCAGGACCAATATCTGTCACTGGAATAAGTGAATTTAATGTATCCTAATGGTAATCATTGTTTACATTTGCCATACATTTGCTTAAGAAAGTATGAGGGCAAAACATTGTTTCTGAGGCAAGCAATGACTTTCTTATTTCTGCAGAAAAGTATTTTTGAAGTTGTTTGCAGAGCTTGGAGTCGTGTTCCATGATAGATGGGATAGGCCAGGGTGCCGGTTTGGCCCCTGAATGGGAAACAGACTGCTGTCAACTTCTCTTTTGAAGGAAATTAGAGGAAGCTCACACTGAGTTGGGAGGAACAAAGACGAAGCAAGCTACCATTACTGCAAATAAGACTTTTGTGACCCTGACTTGTGAGTAATCAAGACAGTTGGATTCTGGTTAAGCTTAGAGTGCTGAGCAGAGGAAGTGAAGAGTTCTTTTCAGCAGGTAGCAGCCCTTTCTAATACTGAAGTTTCTTGTTGATGAGTGGTATTTTTGTCTAAAAGATCAGTTCTTCTGGG